TAAGAAAAAACAACAAAAATTTGAAGGTGAGGTCCGTCTTGGTATTAATTATGGGAAGACGCGTCGATATGATGGGACATTAAATTCCAGGTAATGATGGTCAAAAATGGTGGACGGTGAGGTCCCTTTTGATATTTTGTTTTGAAGTGAGGTCCATTTCGACATTATTTTGGAAGGCGGGGTCCATATTGATATTAAAGTCTCTTGGTGAGGTCCTTCTTGATTTTGATCCTTACAATTATTGTTATTTACAGGCTCGTAGACAATGTCAAGATCGGACGCGAATAGACTGAGCTCTTTCGTGAAGAGAGAGAGCGCGTACAAGCGGGAGAAAGTAGCCAAGTATGGATCAGAATGTTCCGAGATAATTCCCAGCTTTCTCTATGTTGGGGGCAATGGCGTAGCCGAGGACTTCGGTTATTTCACCGCTCACGGTATAACACACGTCGTGAACTGTGCTGGGTACACAGTTCAGAACTACCACGCAGATAAACATATCACCTATATGACACTGGACATGCTTGATGATGGTCATAACCGCGTCCTTCTGATATTTTCAATATTTTCTACCACAACCTCCTTAAGGATTACAAGTTGACTTGACATGGTTTCTGCATCTCGTTTTTGACTTTATCGAGCACACGTGAGCGCATACTTGAGAAAATTGTGCTACTTAGGAACTGGCTACAGGTGGGAGCATGGTGGACGTGTCTTCATCCATTGTGCTCGAGGAGTTAGCCGATCATGTGCATTTTGCGTTGCGTTCGTCATGTGGAGAAACGCTCTGGAATATCGGCAAGCGTAAAATGGCGTCGTATGATGTCGTGTTGTGACAATTACGGAGCTTCAGCTTCAGGTACGAGTTGATCCGCCGTCGCCGACTTCTGTGTCAGCCAAATATGGGGTTCGCCGCCCAGCTCATGGCGTGGGCCCGAAGGCGTGGTTCACTCTGGGATGCCAATGAAAGAAGAAGGCAAGCCCAGAGATCTGAAGCTAATATTGGATTGACTCATGCGACCCTAGACCAACCTACTGAATCAAGGAGTAACCACCCAGGGACGTTCAGGGAGCTTTTGTATCGTGTCAGCCTGACACATGCTATATGCGTGTCGAAGCTATGTTACTGCTCACAGCGCGACCTACTGCCTCCAAGTTCGCGACACATGGACCCTTGTGAGGCGTTTATTATCGTCACGCGAGTTCTCACAATTGCATGGATCGGGCAATGGTGTCCAAATATCCTCCGGACTTACGCACGTCATTTCGCTTGTTGGATGCGCATGTCCATCTAGCACCATTTCGGTCCTGGGTTATCTCTCTAATGTAAGCACGGCCAAAGCAATGTCGCAGGTTTGATGGCGCGGCGAACGCTGTGGTTGCGGAACAAGGTGACCTACAACAATGTTTCGGCTTTATCGTGCGTTGTCTTCATCATACTTTTTTATTAGTTGGTAACGTAGGAATTTGAGTCAAATATTACTCCTTTTTCCCGCACTGGCAGATTTTTGGTGCCCCAGGATCCCATGATAACTTCGCAAACCAAATTATATGAGCTGATTCTGGTAGCAAACGGGAATTCCCCAAATATATGCTGGTCTTTTTTATCCCTCTGGGGGGCGGAGTCCTACCGATGTGCATTATAATAAGTGCGTGTCTAAGGGAGCATATTGTTGACTACGATCATGATGATCTTGATTCAAGTAAAATGTTCCTACTGAGCACTGGAGATTCCTACTTTCTCTGGGTGGGCCTATGTTTCATAGATACGAACTCGAGAGCGACCAGGTCTGGCTGCCCTACCCAAGCTGACACTCACCGTCAAAATTTCAGGTCCCACGTGTACGCCCATGATCTTTTAGCATTGTTGCTCAAACAGGGCAGCAGTGGGAATGTAATCTGGGAGAATGACGAGACCGACGGCTTTTGGAAGGCATTTGAGCTAGGCTTTTAGGGAAAGGAAGAGAACAGAAAACTCGCAAAAGCATGCTAACGGGTGCAATCAAGCATATGCTGGCGGGTGGCGGGATGGACCCGCCAGTCTCGTTTGTCAACCTCCAATTGAGCTAGCTGGAAGCTTCTCGGGTAGACGCGAACTTGGGCGTTGAACGGACGAGCGGCACATTCCAAATGAATTGATAACCTTTGGTGGTCTTGTACAAGATATCTCGGAGTGAAGTTCGAGCAGCCGAGACCAGACCAGGCGACCTGGCTAGATATATCTCGATGTATCCAAGTCTGCTTATCTCCTTCCTGGACGGCTCTAAAACGCTGTTGGTGGCGATCACCGTGGAGAGCCGTGGCGGGGTAAGCATCCCACTGGGACGCCAACCAGAGGTAGCCTCGGACTTGCGGGCCGGAGCTGGCTCCCTTGCGAGCGTTCGGCACCCACTAGGCGACCGAAGAACGGATTATGGACCACGAGGCGCGCGTACACCGACGCCAGCCATATCCGTGCGAGGAGTCTAGGTCAAGGCTGCAATTGGTCGAAACCGGCCCTCGGCAGCCCAAAGCGGGTGCCACGAGGCGCCGTGTCACGAGTTAGTGGGCTAGACCAGTGTGAAAAGCAAACGAGCTCGCTGTGCCGGTAGGTGCGCCGGCACAGAGACGGCCTCCCCGGGGTGTGCCGGCATAATCGATCCGGCTTGTGCCGGCACATTCCGGTGTGCCGGCACACCGCGCGCGGTCCGCGGAAATCGCAGTGCGTCTGTGCAAGTTAGGAGCTATAAAAGCAGCTAGTTAGAAGCTAGTTACTTCTTCTGCGCGGGCCCCCGGCCTCTCGCAGCATCGGGGGTCGTACATCGTCACCCCTATCAGTTCCTCCAGAGGGGCTCTCGGTTGGTCGGTCTGTGGCGGGAGACTAGACTGAGGTATCTTGACTAACTTAGCTCGAAGTTGGCAGTGCAGTGGGCTTGTATCTAGAGTCTGATTTTAGGATAGATACAGCGAGCGACGAAGGATATATATCTTGGGCCCCTCTAACTCCGCCAGCCACAGCCTGTAGTGTCCCAGCGCGACGCCAGGGGCAGGGTGGTCCGGATGGGCGACTATTCGACCCACCGGAAGACAACCAGCGCCCCCATGGGCAGCTGTTGGCTCGGACCTGTACGACGCTGCCAGTTATGGGTGCTCAAATACCCGGTATGGGCGATGCGGGACGGGTATATACCGGTATATACCGTCGGTATGGTAAATACCCGGTATATACCGGTATTTTTGGAGTACCCCGACCCCTCTACGGTCTCCCGGCTCCGCGTCGAGCCACCGCGCGCCGCGCCGGTCCCTCCGCGGCACGCACTTGGCGACGCAGCTCGCATGCTCCGGTGGGCTTACTACTCTTTACTGGCGCGCGCGACGGCGGGGTGGGGCGCCGTCGTCGGACTCGGTGTCCGAGGGCGGCGCGCGCGTGCGCGTGCCGCCGCGTCGCGCGCGCGTCTTGCGCAGGTAGCGCCAGTTCCCGGGGACGGGAGGGGCGTCGGTGTCGGCGTAGTAGTCGCCGAGGGCGACGCCGTGCTTGTTTGGGGGGCCGGGCTCCCAACTCACGTCGTAGTTGTACTTCGACGCGCGCGGGTTGTGCTTGACGATCTTCCCGAACATGAAGGTGAGATCGTCGCAGCAGTGCACGAGGTAGATGTCGCCCCACGGCGATGACGTCGTTGAGGAGGAGCGTGGGCGGGCTCGAGAGCTCGACGGCCTCGAAGCCGTCGGGGACGTGGTAGTCGTCGAGGTATACATGCGGCGCGCGCGCGCGCGGCGCGGCGCGACTCAGGCTCGCCGCGGCCGAGCCCGGCAGCCGCGGCGTACCCGTCTACGGGTCGCCCAAAAGCAAAATACCCGGTATGGGAAAACGGGCCCGGGTATATACCGGTATATACCGGTATTTTACCATACCGGTATATACCCTCCGAAATACCCGAGCGCCCATACTGCCAGTCCAGCTCCAATTTCGGCAATCTGACCAGGATTATGGTAACGGTGGGTATATGCACCCGCGGGGCCGACTTCGCGGCACCGAAGGACGCCAAAAGCACGCCTCCCCGCGGGTCCCGTGCGGGGAATTGCAGCCGCGGGAATTCCTCGGCGAAGCTCCAAAGTTTCTTCAACTTGAGGTCAACTTGACCTGCGTTGAAGTTCAACCTGGCCGGCTCCGGGTCGAGGTCCGGTAATGAGCCAGGGGTGCCTAATATAAGGACCCCAGCCCCCGTAGTATCCAGGATAGTCGGCTGGAGGCGCAGGGAGGCCAGAGGTGTGGCCTGGCGCGCGTAGGAGGAATCCGTAATCCGGTACATTAATCTAGGCCTACGGCCCTCTCAGCGGGCTCACTCAACCCCTTGACTAGAGCTGTTTCATGCAGCTAGTCAGATTCGTCCCATGGACGACACGTTCAAATTGTGTAGCTTGCGCGTGAAGCGTATACATCTACAAAGGAAGAGGCGCCGAATTCTAATCGTTCGAAATTTGTTACTCCATGAGTGCAAGGTACTACGATGACTGTGCTGATACAATACAAAGAACAGTAGATGCTTGAATCCCTTCTTGGCAAACGACGCCAAGTGAACGGATCCCGCCTTGCGCATTTGAACTGGACCTGTAAAACTATTGAAAAGATGAATCGAGTCGAAGCGCTTAACGACTGCTTCCACATCTGGCATTCTTGTTCATGTGCGACCATAAATGGTTTCCGATTGGGACGTGTTGCAGCTGGACAGGTGCCTGGGGGATTGGATAATGAACTTGATTTTGTAATGCAGGTTAGCTGGCATGAAATAAACGCGGCTCTGGGTGAAATTGTCCTTTTGCTGCAATCCATAAACTTCGCAAACACCAGGTCTGCTTGAGACTGTTTCATTTTTGATGTTGAATTTCTGTTTAGCATCGGTCTGACACCGAGGGGAAATTATTCTAAGATTTCCAAAGGTATTGGACAAATTCTGTTCCTCGGGTTACGCGTTGCGTATGCAGATGGTGACCCTCAGATCCAGTATCACTTGTACACGGATGATAGCTTCTCACTTCTCCCAAAGCGCAATTTTAATCTGGCGATGTTGTCCTTGGTCCGTTATACTCAGGTGAATACATATGTACACGTGCGGCCCAGTAAACTGGTGAGCTTCATTATGCAGGAGCTTGGCTTGTCCATCCATCGAACAGATCCAGCCTTGCAATTTCCGTACAAAATTCAAGACCACACCATAAACAGCACTGTTGTTCTCTATGCAAGTAATGATGCTATGTGGACACGGGCGATGAAATTCTTACTCACTGATCTTAAATGGGTCATCGCCTGGGTAGTCAAGTATGGTGTGCAGCATACTGGGACGCCGAGGACCACATCGTGGGCCCATCCGACCTAACTCATGGCAAGTATCTGCTGCATTTGGCTTGGACATGGGAAGCTCAACGGGTTTGAGTTCGCGCATTTCAGGAAATTCGAGGTGTTCTAGTCTCAGGGGCGGCGGTGACGGTGGCAGTGGCGGCTCGACCGACCGAGCGACCCAGCAACGACAGACCCAGAAAATACGTGCCAGAGATGCACCAGGGTCCCGGGGGGAGTCACCCGACACCTTTCCTGCAACATGTCCCGCCAGCGGGATATGCTAAACGGCGCTTCAACCTAGCGGCTCTTGCACTCCAATGTGGGAAATACGACGGGCCTGGGAAACCCAACGAAGCTGAGTTTGCGAACCCCCCCCCCCCCCCCTAGTCGCCCTTAAGAGCCCCGGGTCTGGCGCCATCTCTGTCCAGGGAGCCCGTAGGGTCCGTGTAGGGTCCCTGGGGCGGCGGCGGGTGCCAAACGGGGTCGGGTGGGGCCTCTTCCGGGCCGCCGCGCGGCCGGTCGCGGCGGCTCATACTGAGCCTACTGAGTCGACTCAG